TATATAAATAATTTCTTTCTCTCGATCAGTAATTTCAGACTGCATTTTTTTCTGTGTGGCAACAGAAAGGTGAAATGCATGCATTGAAGGATGACAAAATCTGACTACTGAGATGGCAACAAGGTCAAATTTTGATGGAAATTATGTTTGACATGTTTTTGGTCTAGACTTCCAATTTTTCCTTTTAATATGAATGTCATTTGATCATGAGCTGCTTGATTTCACTAATGACCATTACTGTGTGACACTTATAAAATTTCAGCACCGTGTGATATTGCTTGACTTATCAAATGGAGACATAGGCTGTGTTCAGAATATAAGTTTTCGTACTAGGATTGATCTATCTCAGCAACTTCTTGATCTCAGCAAGGATTCTCGTTAAGGTGCAGTCAATGTAATCAGCTAAATTAATTGTTTGACATGTCCCCTCGCAAAGCAACATGAACAACATCATGGACCACAAAGTTTTTTCGACTTTACCCAAGTACTTAAAGTTAGGAGCAGTCAATATAAGTACCTGAGTATCATACAATTGCTGCAATGAAACCCACTTTGCTGTTAATATTTTCTTTTTTCTTTTTTCTTTTTTTTTTCAAAAAAAATTTGAACATTGTATATGAAAGTTCAATTATTCTGAAGGCTTGAACATAGAAATGTAGCCTTACTTGTAACATTTTTTGAAGTTTTTCCACAGCCCCTGGTATGTCTCAGATGGATATGTAATGAACATATAATGCCACAATTATCTAGTCTTTTTGTCAATAACAGCAATCAATACCACCCTTGCACATGCTTCTTGTCTCACCTACTGCAATTAAAGCTATTCAAACAGTATTCCATTATGAAATATTTACCACAAAGAGCAATTCAAACCTTGGAATATCTCTCATTTATGCTCTCTTTATACCTTAATGGGAGAGTTTCATGTAAGATTTCCCTGTAATTATGCTTTTAAGAGGTGTATCTCTTCTTTGCTCAAGTGTTCTAACTGCTAGCCAATCTCTTCTGCCTATAATATCAAGAATTCTTTTTTTCACATTTTTTCTTACATTGCCAATTCATTATTTTTTATAAGAGACTTACATGTGTATTATATGCCAATTTAGTATCAGTAATTAGATATTCATAATTGTGATGCATTTATATGTATTCCTATGCAATATTTTTTACTAAGTACAAAAACAACATTTGTGATTTAGTATATCTTTTTTTTTTTTTTTTTTTTTTTTTGTTCTTTTCAATTTTAGTCTTCAAAATGTGAGGCATAATTTATTTCTGAAGCTGAAAAGATCAGAATTGCTGTAGACCGACACTTCCTGCAATGGATTACCTTTTAAAGATATAGAAAATTAACTGTCTTGTTTAATTTATATTTTCAGTAATTTCAATCACTTTTATATTTTAATATGAAACCTTGAAGTTATTTTGGAAATGTGAAATGATTTAGGCATATTATAACTTTGTAAAGAACGATGCAAGAAGACTGTATGCTACTACTGCGAGTCAGATCTAGGCTACAGATTTGCCATGAAGTAATGATATTAATAATATCTATGTCTAGGATTGCCGACTCATTAGTGAAATGGAAATGGTGTTTTACTAGGGCATTGGAGAGCCTTGTAATTTTCTAGACGAAAAGGTAGTGTAGTAATTTGGTTTGGTAAGTATCGAAGTGATTGCATTCAATAGGTTTTCTTTTTTCTCCCGTGTTGCTTTGATTCAAGTGCTGTACCTCCAGCAAGGGTGATATTTGTACATGTTGCAAACGCTTGTTCCATTTTTCAGCCCACATTTTACAAAACATTCATAAAATTTTTAAATTTTAAAAGTGAAAACTTAAAAGTGAGTAAATAAGCCCTTCAAGTTTAATTTAATAAAGCCATGCAGCTTTAATGACTTCATCCTTTTCTGTCGATTTGCTATGCATTTATGTTTGTCATCTGGTCAGCATTGAAGAGTTAACAACATATGATAGCAACCTGCAGAAGAAAATGAAATAGTTACATGTACATGTATAAACCCACTTTTTTATTTAAAAATTGGCAATATAAAAAATACTTTGTTTTGGTTTAGAAGGCATGTTTTAAAATCAGTTGGAGAACATTTAGTTAGGAAAACAAGGCCAATGTGTCTTTGTGTGGTCCCATTGATGATGTAAAATTTGAAAATTAGCTTAATTTTGGCTTTCACAAATGTTTCTTGTTGTGTTTTCAAGAGGTTAGCCATCTGGGTCATGTTAAATTTTCATTACAGCAAAAAAAAAAAAAAAAACTGATCATTTTCACACTCTGCACACATGCATTTTGTCCTGACCATAGGGGAAGTAAACAGAAGTTCACTTTTTTCAGCTGAATACAATCAAGGATATCAACTTTCCATCCCTACAAAATTTACACAAAAAGGGCCAATTAAGAAAGATATTTGAAGTGAAATAAAAAAATCAAGCACTTGTGTTGGTGCTTTTAAAAACAAAAGAGTGAAAAAAGATAAAAAGCAATGTATATTGATCTCTGCAAGGAAAGGGACTTTATTTGACAAAGAGTATTTTATACCAACCAATTTTTATTGTGTTTAAAATGGAGAAACCTGCACAAAGGCACACATAGTTGATCAGTTTTCAGATATTCCTCGTTTTGATATTGGTTTGTTGCTATGGTAACCAGGTGGTAATATGCAACATATTGGAATCCATTACCCTAGATGTTTGTCACCTTTCCTGTCGTAGAGGGATGAGGGAAGTACCAAAAATAGAACCTTGTCTGAGAGAGAAGATCCGTGATTACTGCATACCCACTTGCCTACAGTGACATTTCACTGTATCATTCAGTAAAACTAAGCATCAAGGACATTGAATACAAATAAACATATGTATATGGCCACTTCAGTTTGCTTTTCATAAAAATGAAAATTTCTTTCTAGTTAAACGTGAGTTTTTATTGTATGGAAAATGTAGTGAATTGTCTTTGTAGCACCTGTATAATAGGAAGGAACAACAAGAGAAACTGTTTCTAAATTACAGGTTTCAGGCAATACATTGGATTAAAGCATCAGAAAGATTACTTATTTTTTCATGTGAAGTCAAAGATTTTAAGCATCAAGTACCATCTACAGTACTTCACACCATGTCTGACATTACTGATTATCTTGTGAGGGAATTAACCTAGTAAATAAAACTGAATATTGATATTAACTGTCACCAGATTAGATAAGTCATATCGGTATATTCCAGAATGCAGATCTTAAGAAAATATATCAAAGAAAAATAACTTTAACTTTCTAGTGCTTATGTATATACACACACGCAGGGCAAATATTGTCACAGATTGTTTGGTGGTCTCAACACAAATATAGATACGATGTTTGATAAAAGTTAGAAAACAGAACAGACTATATAATAGAGAATGCTGTTGTTTTGATCCCAGTGGCTAGAATGGTTTCTTTTTTAAAGATATTTTGTCATATTTTCTGAACCTGAAAAAGCATGACATGCCAATCCTTTTCACATGTGGACATATATTCAATTTGTCACATCAGAAATGAAGTCTTGTGTGTAGGTGAATCAATGAGGCATGTATGAAATTGCTCCCAGACTACTTCTTAATCAGGATTTACACAGATAGAAGTTTTATGCTGCTTGATCACACCAAAGGGGAAAGGGGTGGGGAATAAGGCTCATGTTTCTTCATTACTTAAGGTCTTTAATTTCCATCCCTAAACTTATAAGGGGTGACTATGTAGTACTGAAAATATATTTATTTAAAAAGTGGTGACATTTTTCGTGGTAAAAAATAGAAATATTAACCTCAAGGAT